CCGCAGGGTCGGAGGTTTCGGAGCGCTGCGAGTGCCGGGTCAGCCTCGGGCCGCCGCCGCCGCCGGTCTTGTCTCTTCGCGGCCCAGCACCGCTGCCTGTGCCGACCCGCGTGCAGACTGCGTTCGTCGGGGCGCTCTGGGGCCCCGTCGGCGGCCCGGGCACCAGGCAGAGGGGAGGGATGCCTCCCCGACCGGAGGCAGGTGTCACCTCTGCAGGCTCAGGGGCGCCCCAGCCGCCGTCCCCCCACCACTGCGCCCTTTGTGGGTGTAGCAGGCAGCGCAGACCCCGTCTGTCTCCCCGCTAGCCCCCAAGGCGGTAGGCAAGACCATCAGAGGAGCCTCTCAGAGGACAGGGAGGGCCCCTTCTCGCAGCACGCCTCACTCTGAGCTCCCCCAGCTTGTGCGGCTTCTGTTCCCCCGCAGGAGCGTTCTGGGGCGCTCTGAAACCCAGAAAGGAAGCCAGGAAGGCAGCCTGCACCCCTGTGTTGCCATTAGTTTGTGGAATGCTGTCCTAGGTCCTCACAGCCGAGTCTCACCATGCCCCATTTCACACGGAAGGAAACTGTGAGGGCCAATGACGTGGCTAAGGTCCCATTGCTGGTAAGCAGTGCAGCTGGGAAGACACCAAGGTCTCCTGCCTGCTTGAGCAGTAGCCAGACCCTCTAGGGCCATGGCTCCAGAGGCCTCTGAGCGCCTGAACAGCTGAGCTCTGTGGACTGACACTCCTGAGAAGCTGATTCCCTAGGGCTCCCTGGGGCACTGTCTTCTCTAAGCGATGTCTTTTACTTTTGCAGTTCAGCCTTCCAAGGGTTCAGTCTTGCTCCATCCTGGCTGCCTGAGGTCAGCAGCAAGCACATGGAAGAGTCTGGATTTGGGCCTGAGAGTCCACACCATCCCACAAGGCCCAGAGACAGAGTGCCACCCATTTCCTGTGAAGCTGCAGAGGCTTAGAGCCAAGCATCTACTGACTTGAACTTCACAAATATCTACCAGTCTCTAGCATTTGCATTCTCAGGAGAGTTGTGAGGTCTGTCTGTGACAGCCCCGTCAGAGCCAACCTCACACCACAGCCAGCTCCGAGGTTTGGTTCTGGCTTCAGAACCATGGCTGGGTTTGGCCCAAGGATGAACAGGTAAAGGGTCAGCTCAAACTGCATCTGTGTGTGTGGGAACAGCAGGGACCTGCCCCTGCCAAGGTGGGTGTTGGGGAGCCACCAGACTGGTGACTGTGGGCTTACTCAGAGGCAGTGTTCAATGATGACAGTACACGGTCAGCTCCAGGACACGTTAATTATGAAACATGATGTTGTGTGCCCCGACACACATAACACTATGATGAGCTATAGATGGAAGACACCTGGGCTCTGAGTTATTAACACAAAAACTGGGACTTTGAACTGCTGAAAAGCAGTACTGAATGTGCTGCAACAAGAAATTACTTCAGCTGGTCCCAGCACTTTGATGCTGGAGGACTGAAAGTTCAAGTTGGGCTTGGGTAACTTAGTGACTTAGCAAGATCGTGTCTCAAAAAAAAAGGGGAGCAAGAAAGAAAAAAGGTTTTAGTTTTGCTAGAAGGGAAGCTCCCATAAAATTGGAGCAAAGGAAAGCTTGGTTGCTAAAATCATCAACATTAAAAGGAAGCCAAGTATGTACTTTACCACAAGACATTAGAAAAAAATGGCTTGAGGGCATCACAGGACAGAGCAAGACACACCCATCATTGCCGGCTCAGAGTTCCAAAAGTGAAGGACTTGGCTTTGAAGAAAGAGCCCTAGGGCACCCTGCTTAGGGCTGACCCAGCCAGTCACTCATAAAGCCTCTGGAGCCATGGACCAAGAGGGCCTGGCCACTGTTTGAACTAGCAGTGGACCTCAGCATCATCTACTAGGCACTGGTTTTACAGTCATGCAGAATGCAACAGTTACAGGATCGGGGAGGCTTCCACCC